TGCTACCAGTAGAGCAGTGATGGTAGGAGCCTCTCCCGCCTCCTCAGCAGCACTAAGGATGTCCGACTGCAGCTTAGGGCTTCCCCCCGCTGGCAACTGGGCATCCCCCAAGGACTCCCAGGCTGCCAGAGTGATGTCTGACTGCCAGCTTAGGCCCAATTCCCCAGGGAGCGGGCCTAAACCTGCAGGTTGTCATCCCTCAAGGGGTCCCAGACTGCAAGAGGTCACAGGCCAAGCTGAGGGATCCCCTCATGAGTGCACAAATTTTTGTGCACCGGGCCTCTAGTTTATATAGAATAGGTGATATATTATTAATATACTAGAACCCCAGTGCATGAAATTCAAGCATGGGTAGGGTCCCTAGTCCTTGCTGGTGATCAAGGCCAATCAGGGCCTTCCTTCCCCCGGCTGCCAGCCGGGGTCTTCCTTCCTTCTACGCCACCCCCTGGTGGTCAGCACACATCATAGAGAGTGGCTGAACTCCTGGTATGTGGAACTCGCAAGGGGACAATTTGCATTTTAGCCTTTTATTATATAGAATGTGTATTTCTTCAACACTGAATATAAAAGAAAAATGAAGAAATTAAATTAGGTCTGTAAAATTAAATTGTACAACAAAATAATATTTAATCAGATCTTTGTGTCCCTATTAAAACTCAACAAAGATAGAAACAAAGAAATGATATAGAATATTTGCCCCAAATTTATGTATTATTGGAAATTTCTGACACTACATTAGTGCTTCTGGTGTCATTTCTTTCTCATCTCCCACATACTTGGAAAACATGTGGCCCACCCATGTAAATTTTTTTTGACAACTTCTATTTAGATGAGGAGAATTGTTCTACTATCAAATTTTTTCCTATTTTATATATATACTAGAGGCCCAGGCACAAAAATTTGTGCATTCGGGGGGGAGGGGGTGTCCCTCAGACTGGCCTGTACCATCTCGCAGTCTGGGACCCCTCAGGAGATAACAACCTGCTGGCTTAGGCCTGCTCCCAGGTGGCAGAGGGAAGGCCCAATCCTTAGGTGCAGCCCCTGGTCAGGCTCAGAGCAGGACCGATTGGGGAGTTGGGGCGCCGCCCCCTGTCAAGCACAGAGCAGGGTGGATTGGGAGGTTGATGCCACCCCCTCAGTCACGCTCAGGGTAGGGCCAATTGGGGGGTTGGGGCGCCGCCCCCGTCACACTCAAGGCAGGGTTGATGGGGAGGTTGCAGCACCACCCCGTCACGCACAGAGCAGGGCAGATCAGGGGGTTGTGGTGGCACCTCTGTCACATAC